TTATATTCTCTGATTTGGAGATTAATCTTTCTGAGCTTCCTGAACCAGCCAGAAATATTTTCCAATACAGGCGCATAAACACACACACACGCACATACGTATGAAGTACTCAGATAATAAATAGATGAATACAGAACAACTTGTTCTCTTTTCCTTTGTTGTGTTGTTCCCTCTTTTTTGTAGACATCTATTTGTCAGTAGTATCAATAAGTAGTATGTACAATAGTGTGAGTTGTCATAACAGGAATAGCAATGATAATAAAAATAGTACAGGAAGTGATAAAAAGCTTTATATGAATAGACAGACAGTATTATTATATAATCTATTCTCTGTTAAGATGACTATCTTTTCTAGTTTTGTTTTGTTTTTTTACATTGCACTGTATTGTATTAGAATTATTCAAGAGTTAGTTTCTAGCGCGATTTGATTTTAAGTTAGTTAAATCATGCAGTGAAATCAGTTAGAGAGAATCAGACAGAAGGTAGGCACTGAATGTGGGTGTTTCGTCCTAGTTTTGGCCTATAGACAGGGTGAGAGCACTTTAGACGCTTCAGCCGTCTTACACAACACTATCGTCTCATCATTAGATAAAGGTGCCAAATACGTCCGCTGCACGTTTCTCGACTTCACCTCTGTTTTCCACTCTGTACCTAGATAGATGTCTCTTGCTAAATAAGCTCTCCACGATACAAACGCTGAGTCCTGGATCACTAACTGGTTGCATTCCTACTTCTCTAACAGAATGCAGTACACTGGTATACAAAGGTAAATCATCCCCTGCTGTGTTCACTGAAGCTGATGTCCCCCAAGGTGCTGTACTCTCCCCAATTCTCTTTTCTTTCTTTCTTTCTTTCTACATGACCTACCATCTTCAAATGACATTAATTTTGTCAAATATGCTGACGACCTGACTGACTGTATCTTTGCCTGTCAAATGTCAGTGTGACTGCTCTAAACTAAATGGCTTTTTATCAGAAATCAGCCAATGGTCCAAGGAAAACGGTCTCACCTTAAATCCCTCAAAACGCCAAACAGTTAATTTCACCTTTAGGCACAAATCTGACCTAAATAAACTGGCGGTTAGCACTCACGAGGTGTGCAACATAGATGGCACTGAAATAGAGACCAAGTCGGAAATTAAATATATATCTTGGCGTCACTCTATCTTCTGATCTTTCCTGGTCGTCTCATATCTTGATGATTTCTAAGAAAATATTCCGTCTTACCTTCTATATCAAGAAGTTAAGACATTCTGGAATAACCCAACCCAACCCAACCCTTACTCCTACAATTCGTTAACTCTTGCACCCAGTCTATTATTCTCTATTGCTCCCCCTTAGTCTTTCCTGGGCTATTAAAGAAAGACTATACCTTATTAGGTAGGACGTTAAAGGTTGTCAGCAGGGTAAGCAGTTTGCCACTTAGCCAGCTTGTTAATATTCTGGTGGACAAGCACATGGACTCATGTGAAAAATGGGCTAAATCCATTTTATCTAACTCATACCGCCCTCTTCATTCACAACTCTCCCCTTGTATCTCATCAGGCAGGCAGGACCAGAAGCCTATATAGAAAACTATATCCTCACAATAGCAAGTACAAAAACTCAACCATACCCTACTTGGCTCGTGTTCTGTGCGATAAAGAAAGAATTAGGCGTGAAACCTATAACTCATTAAATAGTCTTTTCTAACTTTTCTAACACCTTCAAACACTCTGTTCACTTTTGGCTTTGCTACCGATTCGCTAATATGTTGCTGTTATAATGAACTGAGATAACCTTAATCTACGTAGAATTTTATTTATTGTTAATGTACTAACTGGATGCAATACTGTAGTGAAATGCTGAGAATTCCATTCTGTATCACAAGTACTGTTTTGGAATAAAGAAAATTATTATTATTATAACTCTTCAACAATACCCTATCTATCGCCTGATGTGATAGCACTGTTAGGCAGGCATGTTGGTTTTTCAGCTACTGGGACGGAGTTGAATGATCGGCCCATGAATTCTAACTTCTGTCAAGCTGCAATACATATAGCGTGTAACCATCAGCCAATGTCTTCGAAGAAACCCTGGACCTGGTTGATCCTACACTGGTCACGAATTCCCACTGGACAAGTCCAGGCAACTTCGTCCTGTAGTCAATTAATGGTGTTGGTTTCCAAGGAATTGATTAGTTCCAGTTTTGATCACGAACTGGCTTCATTTAGAGAACCACTGAAAACCAAGCGGTACTGTAATGTGCGTCGGTGGCACAGCGGTAGAATACTCGCCAACCACGCCTCATGTGGTCTGGGGTTCGATCCCCGGCCACTGGACGACTCACTCATTTACCTCACCGAGGCTGTAATAAGGCTGGTAAAGAGGGCTAGCATAAGGCTAGCAACCTCATCCCATGAAAATACACACCACTGCTACCGAAACTCCACTGGGAACGTAAAGAAATAAAGAAAAACATCTGTACTGCACACCTGTTTAGTCCTAGTTTGGAACTGACCCCTCGATATTACACATCCATGACCCCACCTTGGATCGAACCTAGAACGTTAAGGTAACCAGGTGAACCCAGTTGAGGATCAGCTAAAATTTGTGAGTTGACAGAAGTTTGAAATTTAAAGGCCAATGGATTTCGTCTTAGTGTGGTTGTGAGAATGGTTGTCAACAGGTTTGCCTCATAACCTGAAGGTCTTGGGTTTCTTCAGTGAAGTTCTCGGTGGAGTGAGTGACACAATCCACAGCAGCTGTCTCCAGTACTCCAGTACTGGACTTTCATTGATTCTTTAACTGAAGTTACTTCATTATCAAACGCATATATTCTTTGTAATATTGATTCGGATAGGAACACAATAATTACTGAATTCAATGAAGTACATTCTGCTATGAAATTCACATGGGAAGATGAATCCCAAATTACAATTGCCTTTCTAGATATCCACTTTACAAGAAAACTAGATGGTTGCATAAAGAAAAATTTACATAAGAAAATCACATGGACAGAACAATATACACCTTTTCATAGCTTCACTCCTCTCCAGTACAAAAGAAATTTAGTAAGGACCCTCAGCCGCAGGGTTAGAGCTATATGCTAAGAAGGGGATGAACTAAGGATTATAATAATAATAATTATTATTATTATCTACTTTATTCCCAAAACCGTACTTGTAATGCAGAATGGAATTCTCAGCATTTGTCACAATATTTTGGATCTGATTTACTCAGAATATAAATAAAATTAAAAATTAAAACAAAAGTAACCACAGGAATTTGTCCACGCTTATGGTATAAAGTCAGAAATATTTTAAGCACGAATTGAGATCATTAAATATAATAATAATAACAGTGAGTTTGTTTCAAACAGTATTATCGATACCCGGAAGGTCCTGGGTTCGAATCCCAGTGGCTGCGTACTGCCGATGATTCCCAAACTAGGATGAAACAGCAGCTGTTCAGTACTCCCTGGTTTTCAATGCTTCTCTAACTGATATCAATCCGTGATCAACTCGTAAAAACATAACTAACCCTTAGAAATCAAACTATAGAAAATTATGGATACAGTTTGTAAACTTTAGCATGTTATAGATTATTGGATCTAATGTTTGGTTGATATAGTATGGTGAGGGGAAATACAAAATTAACAGTTATTCACACAGCTTAATTACGTTCACACTTATGAAAAAAATAAACAAAAACAAAATATTGAGAGGATTATATATGATACCTTGATTGAAAATAGTTATCCTGATAAATTTATCAAGAGACACATGACAAAGAAAGCGGAAAAAGGACTACTCATTATCTGTAAACAAGAAGCCACTTTATATACATACGACTGCAATTCAAGAGTGACGCATCCAGTAAAATAATTACTAACAAGAAAACCTGTTCAAAGAACTTTTAATGCTGGAAAACCACAAGTCATGTTTTCTACGCGACTGATAGTGACTCATAGATTGAAAGATAGAGTACCTAGACTAGACTAGACACTTCTAATTATATAACCCAATTCAACTGCGCTTGTGGTGGAGCGAGTTATATTGGCCGCTGCTCTAGGAACTTTACTTTCTGTGCTCGCTCGAGAAGCATTAACACCGGGTCCGCAGCAGCTGGCCACAAAGCTAATACTAAATAAATTGCCAAAAACATTCAGGTACGGAAGACTCCAACACAGGTCAGGCGATCGCGATTCGCCTGGAACAAACGATGCTCTGTGTGCAGAAGAAACAATTTCAACAGCTAGCCACTACTACTGTCATGACCGGCGTTCAGTGGAGACTTTGAATTCATGAATTCATATTATTATCTTTCCTAATTTTTCTGATATTCAGTGCAGTGCAGTGCAGTGTTATGTTGATGCTACTGAACTGCAATCCATTGATATTACTATTATGATTGATTGATTCGATGTTATTTAAACAGCATTAATGTTGTTGATAACACTAATTCATTCATTCATTCACTATAATGTATATATAACTGTAGAACCTGATGATGAAGAGCTGACTATCGCATAGAATATTCTTTGTTCAATAATAATCAGTCTTTTGAAAAAAATATCTTTTAAAATAATGGATACTGAACAAAGAGTACTTTTTTCGATAACTCCTTCTTCATCAGGCTCTACAGTTATGTATACATTATAGTGAATGGATGAATCAATGAGCTAATGTTATGAACAACAACATTAATGCTGTTTAAATAACATCGAATCAATCAATAATACCGATAGATTACAGCTGAATAGCATCAACATAAAATAAGCTGAATGTCAGAAAAATTAGGAAAGATATTAATATTACAAATTCATGAGTTTATAGTCTCTACTGAAGACCAGCCAGGGCAGTAGTAGTGGCTAGCTGGACTTGCTTCTTTTGCATACAGAGCACTGGTTGTTTCACGCGAATTGCAATATTAAATATTTTCAATCAGTTAGAATCGATTTTTGTTACTTGATTGAATAACACTCATTTTTCTATTATATATTTTTTTCTTTTTTTTAGACCTCCATTTCAAGCTTCTGAACCAATTAAAATCTATATGAAAACTTTAAAGGGGATAGATGCTTTAGGCTTAGCACAAAATAAATATATCAGTTTGAAAGCCTTACAGTTTATTCGACGATTATGTCGATTTAATCCATCTGAAAGACTCGGCGTCGGTAAATATGGAATACAAGAGATACGTAGTCATAAGTAAGTTTATTCCACTTTATTATTATTATTATTATTCAACTGTTATTTATTTAATTGGTAGAATCCAGGATAAAGCGCATTTCGTCGTATTTGGAGACTCGTCATCTGGATGTTATTTGTTTAACTTTATGCTGAGTGTTTGACGCCGTTATATACAAATTCACTTCAATCTAGATAGTTAGTCTTATACGAATAGATTTACTTGCTACCTCTGTCTGTGTCATTCACCGAAAATAACGAATGACGTATGAACTTGGTTTGGTCATCAGATGACTACGATAAGGCATTTTCTGATGTGTTCCATTATGGATAAAATACAGTGAGTAATATTTACTGATGACCACGTTTCGAGCACCCCAATTTATTACTGCAGGTCATAACCGGATCAGATCTAGGCACTACTTGACACAACTTTCCTACTTCATTTATGTAATTCCATTACTTTTCATCTCTTGATTTGATTGGTATCAGTTTTTTTCAAATTTCTGGTATGAGTGATGAGTCATTCCTACTGCACGTGGTTGGGTGTAGATTATTCGATGAACCAGGATTCAGTAATCAACCTCTCTAGCTCTCTACCTACCTATATTACTTTTTAGAATTATTTATGTGTCTAACAAACCGAGCAGTATAGCACTAAGTAGTCCGAAAAACGCCTAAATGATGAAATGAATTAAGTTAGAAGAAGATCAGGAAAGGCCGAAAGCAAAATAAAAATAATAGTGAAAGTAACTAATGATAACATAAATAAGAGAGAATATAAGGCATCTACAATAGTTTTACCATATAAGGAGGGGAAATCTGAGACCCTCGCCGCGTAAGATTCTTAATAAAGCTGGAATTAGGGTGGTGGTATTTAAACCTACAGACTCACTCAGGTAGGACAATCTCTGTAGGTTAAAGGACCCTGTAGGTTGACCTAATTAAACAAAATAATATAATTTACAAAATACCCTTTGACATGACTGTGAATGAGGTCAACTGAATAGGTTAAACCCAGTAGTAGGTAGGAGGTACTACTGCGCTGAAGATGTCGTCCAGAAAGACGATGAAAGCTCCGCAATTAAACCAAGGAGCTCAGAGAACACTATCAATTGCAAAAGGTAGTCAGATTGTCAGAACATAAGAATTTAGTGGCTGAGGTCAAAATGATTGACTCAGCCTAGTTAAGTAATTTATGAAAAACCTCAGGAAATGCACTGTAGGCATGAATAAAACACCGCACACAACAGAATGGGTGAGGTTTAAAACGGTACTTACGTAAGGACAGCCAAACCTGGTGATCAGATTATGCACATAACATGGAAACGGCGGCAGCTACATCTGGCAATATTCGGACAGTGTTAAACTCAATCTGAGCCGGCAGTATGAAGAAATGTATTATTATCCCAAAAACCCTTTATCAAGATACCTCAGATAGATTGACGACAACATACACAATCACAGTTGCCATCATTGCTCCTAATCATCAATGTTGTTAGACAAGGTTTACTTACTCTTACCGTCAATAACATAATGAGGATAGCGCTGAAGGATGTGTTTATTGGTAGTGGTTTGGGGCGTGCTACTTACAGACAGATATAAGTAGTATGTCAAGTAACATCTTGGGCTAAGCCTATGATTATTTATATGTCACTGGAAAATCCACTTTAGGGGAGATGCGAAAAAATTACCATTCTGAGAGGAACTTAATAAGCGACACACATACACATACACAATGAAGAAAAAAAATTCCCTAATACAGAATGGATGATATTGTTTGTAAATAATGAAATCAATTCATGATTTATTAATTTGATTGGTTGAGAAGGGTCTCATGATTAGCTGACATCGGTTAGAGAATCATTAGAAAACCTGCAGGGAGGACTGGACATCTATTTCGTCAGGCTAGTTTGAGACTCTTCATCTGTCTGTACACTGGCCATTGGACCAGGTTCCAGTGGCTGGCTGGATGGTGTATGAGCTAGCTAACCTTGTAACCAGAAGGTCCTGGGTTTGAACTGTCAAGGTGGTGGGGTGGGTGAGTACTGCTGAAGAGTTAGTCCCACACTAGGCTGACGAAACAGCTGTGCAGTAATCCAGCGCTGGTTTTCACGGCTTGATGATATCAGTTAGAGAACTATGGAAAACCAGGGAGTATAGTTTTAGTTTGGGATTCATCGACAATGCGCGCACCCACAGGGATGGAATAACAGTCCAGTACTCTCTGATGGTCTTTCAATGGTTTTCTAACTTATATCAATCTGTGATATAACCTGAAATAATAATGTATGTATAATAACCAGTAGGGTACAGCAGGTCGATTGTGAGGACAAATAATCACCAAGGATAACATCGGCTAGTGGTCGTGCTATTTCGTGTGTGAATTGTCAAAAGTTGGAATTCATGGGCCTTCCTTGGCAGTGGGGGTGAGTGAGTACTGATGAAGACTTAGTCCCAAACCTAGGCTGTCGAAATATCCAGCTGGCTATCCAGTACTCCCAGTAGCCTGGTTTTCCAATAGTTCTCTAATGATTGATTTCACCGTCCAATGATAAAATCCTATAACCAAACCAAATCAAATCCCAGCAAAGCAAACCTTTGAACAACAATAATAAAATAATATAATAATGTTTAATGGGCAATAGTTTGTTGTTGTTCCTGTTCTTATTAAAAGAGATTGTTTACTGTCAATGTACATTTTGATTATTGTTGTTGACAGTTCACCTGACACTGGTTACTACTTGTGTGTGTGCATGTGAATGTGTGTATGGCTGTGTGTGTGTGACATGCGGACTTGGTAATGTTGCGTTAGATTTCTCTCTCTCTCTCCTAACCAGCGTTTATTTTACCACATTTCAATCTGACAATAATCAAATAAAAAAATGGTATTATGTACAGTTACCGGGGTACATATGCAGAGATACAATACACACACACACACACACACAACTACACACCTAATTGACATTTATGTAAATGCTAAGGCGGGGCGGGGGAGGGGAATACCATGATTTATGTTAGTATTAGTTATATAGTAGCAGTATTTAGTGTATTATATATACATATATATATAGGTAGGCATACATTAAAGTTTGTCAATAAATCCACCCTAGCGTGTGTGTGTGTGCGTGAGTGCGTGCGTGCGTGTGCGTTGTCACGGGTATTATTCTATCCTGATGATTAAAAGTGTTTGTGTTTTTTTCAATTGTGTGGTATTATATCAAGATAAAATGACAATAAACACTTGTCCAGTGTTGTTCATTCTTCCTCTTTTTCCACCCTTTTTTATTATAATAAAAAAATAATAATTTTATGACATATTTTTTCCTTTTCCAACGACGATATACACTGCTTTATTGGAACATTTATCTTTGTCACTTATCTCCTGATAGACCCAGTGTGTGTTTGTGTGTACGTGTGTGTGTGTGTGCGTGTGTGTGTGCATAGGAAATAAATCCAAAAATTGGAACATATTGAATGTGATGAATGTTGTATTGTGTTGATACTTGAAAATTGATTTGATGCTGACTAGCGGTGACTAGGCCTATTCAGATGTTAGAATTCATAGGCTGACTGGTCACTGGCGGGTCCCAGTGAGTAGTGGCTGGTTGAATGGTCTATGAGCTAGCTAGTTCGCCTGGTTTGTAACCAACCAGAAGGTCCTGGGTTCGCATCATGGCGATGGATGCATGCTGGTGACTTGTTACTAGCAGTCTGCTCCATCCTTCCCTCCTTTATGGCCAGCTGTGAGACCTGACCCTTTGAGGGCAGAGGACATGAAAAGGTTAGCAAGTTGTCTTTGATCATAGGTGTCTGCGTTCTATCTCCCTTGTTAAGTGGTATAATAAGGTGAGCAGTATTTGAGGTTAAGAGTCGAGTACTAGGTAAGGAGGGGAAATCAATCGATGAGGCTGTGAAGCTACATCGACTGAGATTGTTAGGACATGTGTTACGTATGCCTAGTCATCACCTTCCTCGACAAGTGGCAATGTTAGCTATCATAGGATGGATCAGGTTGGTAAAGAGTTAGCAAGTGGTGGTCAAACCAAAACATGGCCTCACCAGTCAATGAAATCCACAATACTTAGTTTAAGCCAGTCAGACAAGTAGGGAGGTGTAAACTCCTTAGTTGGGGTCCTTGGGACGGTAAACACCAATGGTGATGGCTGGAGACAATTGGTGATATGGCTCAAAATCGTTCTCGATGGTGGTGCAGGTGTATCCACTCCTTGTGACTTATAATACCCAATGAAACTATATTGTTCTTCGTTATTAATATTCCTTCTGTCTCATATCTCCGTTTTTTGTCGCTATTATGCATTTCTTCTACTTTCTTCTCTTTCTTTGTGTCCTACGTCGAGAGAGAGAGAGACAGAGAGAGAGAGAGAGAGACGACTTGAACTTCTGCACATCGGTGCAAAGTTCTATGTCGAAAACAGATAGACATACAGCAAGTAAATCTGTTTCTATGAAACTAACTCTTTGAAATTTATCATCATAGTATAAGTCGTTTACGCTATTTTAGGCGGTTTATGGACGAAGTCATAATGTTGGTAGATAGGGATTTAACTAACACCAGTAGGTTGGTTTTCCTCAGATAACGAATAACTCATTTATTCTGCCTCTTCGCTCTGTGGACAAGCGTGGCGGGGGTGGGGTGGGGAGGAGAAACATCGATCCCAAAACTTGTGTACCTTTTCAATGAATTACGTTGTGGCAGTTCTGTAACTAGCGACAATGTCTTTTTTATACAGAGACAACTCCAAAAACCACTTACATGTGAGTGACCTCAAGGAGTTGTCCCCTGGGGGGAAATCTTAATGTTCTTTCTGTTTTTGTATGTATGTATGTATGTGTGTGTGGGCAGCCGAAAAAGTAACAACCGCATACACCCAGGTACATAAATTCGCATAAGCGCCTAAAGCCTAAATTACAGAAAATAACTGTTTTCCTCACTTTACTTTGATAGTTTTTGAGATTTCATGAATTTGTCAACAATGACTAACACTCTTATAACGAATGACCGCAAGCATAATGTTGATATGATATAAAATCGAAAATATTTAAGTTCATAGGAAATTCACTATAATTTTCATCCTTATCCCATGTTATGCTGGTGTTTTCTATTTCGCTATTTATTATTTTATCTATTTCGCCTTCTGAGTGGAACAAAAGGCCTCAAGCATGAGTCTTGAGACTTCAGTAGTACAGTGGTGTTTTTTTATTTCTTACGGGGTTGAGTTACCAGCCTCACGCTCCTCAACCCCTGCCTCTTTACCGAGATTACTACCGGCTAAGCAGTGAGATTTAAGAGTGCGTCCACTGGCTGGAGATTAA